GGTATACTGACACCCTATAAAAAAAGCAATATATTAAGGAGATTGTATTGCTGTGCTGTCTGCAGACAGTTGGGATCATCAAGCAAGGCACTCATCAAATTGAGTACTGCAGGGGGTATATTAAATTAAGGGTATATTGAATCAAAATGCGGCAGTGTCTTAATAATCCCTCATCCTGGGGATGTCCCCCATCCTGGGGATGCAGAAGTTCTGCCCTATTGTCCAATACGGGGAACTTCAACGGAAAGTGGAGCTTCCAAAGACTTCCTTAACCGTAGTTTCATTTAGAGATCCTATTTTTAGAAAAATGGGGTTAGAGATACTTCCTATCAGAAAAACATAGGTCATGTTAACCCAGTGCTGAAATAGTCTTCTAGTTGTGAAAGCACCACCTGATTATTAAATATGTGTTGGGACTTGCTACATGAGGAAACTTACTGATATAATTGCACTAGTATAATTATACTCCGGCAATTTCCTGTGTCAACAAGCCTTTAGATGCAACTAGTTGGACCCTTTCTTATTTAAGAACTCATTAAGCCTTTAACTACACATTAAAATTGTGTAATTCAGGGCCCCAAACCTTTAAAGCCCAAGTTTGGTGTTGACCGTCAGGGTTTCCAGATTACCAAGCAAACTTGTTATTAAGCTTTTAAAAAAAATAAAGACAAAAAGAATTCATGTTCTCAGTCTGGGAAAGGGCTATAAAGTCAAATTGCCCTGAAAATTTGCAGTTACACAATTGCACGGGTTCCAGCATAGGAGAATGCACTGGGCGGCGCACATTTGAAAACAGGGCTCGCTGGCAACCTTTACAGGGCAGGAGTTTCTGGGCCAGGAGTTTCTCGAGTCACGCTCTTCTCTCTAGTTTTGATCCACAGTGTTAGGATGGAGAAGAAAGGGGCACGTGGAGTGTGTCACGTTCATGGGGCTGTCCAAACTTTGCAAAGCTCCCTCTTGGCGCTGTGGTGACCTGGCTGTGTCGGGGGATATTTGCTGCCAGAAAAAAGCGGTACAGAAAGTATTGCTTGTGGTTTGCTTTCATTTCAGAGTGCTGTGAAACTGTTATTTCTCTGCTTTCAGATTTCTTCCCTGTTGTAGAAGTTGCCATTCTCAAGATTGATCACTCTGAACATTTGCTCAGCCTGAATTGTGTGAATTGTAATAGGAAGTCTGTTTTTCATAATAAAAATAGCCTTAAGGCAAAGTGCTGGCACCTCATTGTTCAGCATCCAGCTTAATTTACTTCAAGCCTTAAAATAAGAACTTGGTGTTTTCTTTGTCACCTCAATCATTATATCAAAGCTGAAACTTTCTTATTATTCATATCATCAGGGAGCACGAACTGAGGCGCTTCAGCTACATATCCCACCGATGCTCTAGTTTACCAGTCTTTCATCTTTCCCCTAATTTATTCCTTCTTTGACAGCACAGTGAAAGTAAAACCCAGGTATGCATGTAGAGCTCCGTGCACAATCCGTGCTCTCCAAGGAATGGTCAAATAATGCAGAAGTGCATGAGGAAAACTGCCTGAGGGCAACTTTGGACATGAGTATTCAGCTACATTCTTGGTAATAGGCATCTCATTCACAGCACAAAACCCCTCTTAAGTAGGAATATTTATTCTAGGAAAGTCTTCTCACCTCTCTGTAGCTCCTGTTACATGGTGGAGGAGTGTGGGGGGTTGCTCCAGAGTGTTACAACAAGGAGTTGTGTCAGTGGACTAGTTTCCTGACTCAGTTAGGACGCAGCAACCTCATTTTATTGGTTAAGGCTGAAGTTTGTGCTTCAGTAGAAAGGAGCAATGAGGCTCTTTAGACCTGTCTGCCAAACTGGTAACTGTTCGGAGAGGGACCCTTCGAGTGCCCTGATGTGGCTGATGCAGGGATTTTGTGACTTTGTAAATGCCATAAGTACTTGCTGCAATACTTGTAACATGAGAAAATTTTATTTTCAATTCTTAATTTGAGGCAATAGTCCAAAAAACTCAACTTGGATCAATAGTTGTGGTCTAAAGTTAAATTTGCATCCCTTGCTCCCTAACGCATGCTTAGGAGTTTTATGTGGCAAAAAATATAGGTTAGCTTCTTATCAGGTCAGTGCTGCTGTTCAATAAACAGCACTTATCTCATCCGAACACCACCCTGCCCTAAATAAGTTTCTGTCTGGTGAGCTGAGCCAGGAATAGCTTCCATTTTTATTGGCTTATAAAAACACTATCATTTTAAAAAGTGTTTCAAATCAAAATATGCAGTGGCAGTTGTTTTACTTTCTGAGCACCATGGTTGTGTTCCTCTCCAGCTTATGTGGGTGTTACAAAACAGTGTGATCACAGCTTTGCTGCTCTCGTTTTTTGGTTTTATTTTCACAACCGAATGTGTGCACTCACTTCTGTCCCTGAAGCTCCCACGGAATTGCCCTGTTTTTGAGCATCATTTACATACGTAAATATATTTATGCTTTTGTGATTGGTTGTGATCTTGGAACACTTGTATTTTCCTTGCACCTCTGTGAAGTACTAAGCAATCCTATATGTATATTTATTTATTTATTGAGTTATCAGAAACTAGTTGTAAGAAAAAAAAGAGTGAGCAGGGAAATTAGGATGTGACAGTAGAAATGTTGGCAGGCCTAGGAATGGACCACAAAGAGAGGGGGAATGCTCAGTATGGATAAGAAAATTCAGCAGGTAATAGCGGTTCCTGGGAATGTTTTGTTACATAAGGAAGGACATAGAAATGAGGGTATTAATGCAGTGATGGACTGCAAAGAAATAAGCAGGAGAATGGATGAAACATTTGGTGAGTGTCAATGTTTCTTTGGAAAAAGACGGTAATTGAGATGGTTAGAGCAGAGCTGAACGTTCGCTGCACATTCCCAGGGCCTGATCTGGATAATAGAAACCTTTGCAATGCTGCAAGTATAAATATTCCCGGGAATAGCCTCTGTGGTACTTTCCAGCTGTAGAATAAAGGCTATAAATAAATCCGTTAGTTATCATAGCCATAACAGCTGGCTCCTTCCAATTAAAGATCCAGATACTTTCGAAATTAGTAATGCCAAGTGAGGGGAGAGAGGGGTTGCAGAGCCTGAGGTAATCACCCTAAGAAAAACCTTGAAATAGGCAGAGATCCTATGAGGATTAGGGGGGAAAAAAAAGACAGATCAGTGCAGAAATCTGTCTCGGGCATCAAGAAGCACGGAGATAAAAGCAAGTGACCAAAGGCTGAGTGGAATTAGTCAGGAAAGTATTTTAACTTCCTTCAGGTGCATCAGAGCGAAAGAGGAGATGGGTTTCTTGCGGTGTGGACTGGATTTGAGACAGAAGATTCTGTAGTGTTGTGTGGAAATGAAGAAAATGCTGAATTCCTCCCTAACGGTGGTGACATGGCAAAGGCAGGACAGATGTATGAAAAAAAGTAATATTTTAATGAGCATGGCTGCATTTGCACCAAAAGCAAAACTGAAGGAATAGGCGTACCTAAAAGCAGGGAGACAGAATAGTGTTTTATTGCAGAATCCTGAAGTTTTGGGTAATGAAAGTGCAAGTCTTTAGCAGGAAGCATTTTTAACAAATCTGTTGAGTTGGTGTGTGATGTTCAATGCCCCTTTTATGAAAGGGAGGAAGAAATTCTTGTTGTATAGGTGGGAATATAGTTGGAAGACAAGACCTGGGATGAGCTTCCTGAACACTAGCCAAGAATTTACAACCCAGGAATTGTTTATCTTACTAAAAAGACTATGCAGAAAACCGTATCACATTCCTAATATCAAACCAAACTATCTGAATTTTGATAAACTATCTAATAACTGGGAAATCGTTCCCCAAAGTCAGGTTAGAATTGGGAAAAGCAAGTGAGGAAAACTGCCAATGAGTAGGTGTTGAGCAAGGAAAGTTGCTATTAAGTTTGGAAGTGCTCCTGTTAATTATTTCGTTAATGACCTTTCCACAAACGTAAGGAATAAGTAGATGAAATCTTGTCATGACGCAGAGGAGCAGGAAGGAGAACCTGGCTACCATATGGAAAGGAGTAGCTGAATCATGTTGAAGTGATACAATTTATTGTATTGGTTCTTATATACTATAATATTATCTGCAAGATCATATAGCCAGGAGTTAAGCTACCTTCCAGTATAGGGGAAGATGATCGCTCATAAACATGTGGGATGGACATGGCACCTCCTGACTGATCACCAGGTAGGAGTAAAAGAGGAAGGATGGGGGAATGCAAGAACTTGACAAGTTCCTGGGACAGTGAGAAGGAGGAGGAAACTAAGAGAAGATGGAAAGCAGGAAATACTTCATGCGAAAAACAGTGCCTCTAACCTTGCCATGAAAAAAAAAAATGTTGAAAAGCGGAAGGATGTGTTTCTGAAGGTTAGAGCCCATGAGGTTTGGAACAACTTCCACATAGGTGATAGTGAGGTTGGAAGAGTGGTGGTGGTTATGTTAATGAACATTGCAGTGGGTTTTTAATGGATTCTCCCAGACTAAAACTGGGAGCAGTTTTACAATCACAAGCAGCTCTTACATTTCTGCTTCACACTCTATTATCTATATCAGCTGACTACCAATTGAGCTCAGTGAAGTACAGCAATAGAAAACCATGAATTGTGTGTGCCTTCCAGCTAAAGGAAATAGCAGGCAGGACTGATTCCCGTGTTCGCTTTACAATTACGTGCATGCAACTTATTCAAATGTGATCCCAGAAGTGTTTTCAAGTTGTAGAAACTCCATTTTATAGCTGTTTGCTCAATTTAACCTGGTAAGGGGGATTGGCTTTGGCAAGATTCTTCCTGAGCGCCTGCTCAGCCTCTACATTTCCCATCACGTTTACTTATCTGGAAGTACAGAAATGCAACTGTTTTTAAGGTTTTGTTTAGTAGCAAGTGCTAGGAGGTATAGTAACTAATCAACCAACATGGAAGTACACAATATTTTTTATAAACATTATAGTAAAATAGCATTGCTAACATGTTCTTTTCCTTTTTTCCCAGTGCTTGCCCCACCTCCACCGCTGCCACCACCGATACAGGGATATGCCTTCAAACCACCCCCCCGACCAGATTTTGGGACTTCTGGGAGAACAATCAAACTGCAGGCCAACTTCTTTGAAATGGACATTCCTAAAATAGATATCTACCATTATGAATTGGATATAAAGCCAGAAAAATGCCCTAGAAGAGTTAACAGGTAACAGCATGAGTTGCTTTTCCTCAGTTTATTTCTGTTCATGTTTTCATTAGAAGATGCTGGACCCCCATGCCAGTTTTCCTTGACAATTTTGTGGAATCCATCTTTAATTATTGTTTTTGTTGATATTTTCCATCTCTTCCTATCTATCAGCAGGCATAATTACACTTCTGTTCCTCCAAATCTTTATCTACCAAGCCAGGACTTTTGTGCTGATGGTCCTTTATTTTCTATAAACTTCTTCATATCTTAAAAAGCTGCTCACCAAAGCTACTGGGGATATTGGTATAAACTGTATTAATCTAGTGGAGTTAGCTCAGTACATGCAACCTGATAACCAAGCACCATTAAAAGTCATATTTAAATATTGAAGTATAAGTGGGCTGATAAGCCACGCAGGTGTGGGATCAGCTTGTTTTGCTGTCTTCTCTTACTGACAAGGGGAGGTAAACCCATGTGCTCATAGTGCTGGGAGGAGATCTGGAAGGAACTAAATTAGGTAAGAAATTATCCTCCTTTCTATATAAGGGAAAGCTATGCTCCTGAGACAGATAGCAAGGTGAAAACACGGATCAGCTGGCAAAGGAAACAAGCAATTAGGTCCTGTGTTTTGCATGTGTGCCCTATTAGTCACAGTGTGGCAACCTTATTGACTTGAAAAGAGTGATGCTGCCAAAAGTGAAATGAAGAACAAGCCTTGGCACTAACTAGAAACCACAAGTGGCTTCATCAGACCTACCTGCCTCTTGACTATAGAGGATTGGAATGGGCTGTCTGTATATCCAAGAGCTAAAACTTCCTGTTTTTGAAAAAAGATTGTAGTGGGCACACTATGCAGCCCTGTGTAAACTGTGGAGTCCAAAAAGCCCCCAAAAGCTGACGCTTTCCAAACATGAACTAATAAACTAGAGTACATTATCCACTGTTATACTGAATGTCTATGAATGATACCATAAAGCTGATAATTATATATTACAGTTTGTTGTGCTGATTTTTTTCTCTATTATAAATTAAGTTTTTAAGCCATTTTAAAATTAGTTGAAGACAAAGGTAGAGAGCATAGCTATTAAATAATAAAACAGCTTTTCTGACCAAAAAGGCAGATTATATTCAGTAACAAGCTGCTTTTTGCTGACAGTTTTTGACCTGATCTGCTTGTGCTAACAGGAGCAAGTGTAAATCTACATGGTTTAAGTTCCTTTTGCAGTAAATGAGGGTGTTGTGAATGCTTTCCAGAGTAGTACAGTGAGTGTTTCTCAGTGCAGCGTGGGGAGAATACAAATTGGATTCACTTAATGAAGTTTTATTTCTTCACCGAGTGTTTATTCTTACTTGCACATTCATAGGGTAACATGTGCCTAGGAGTTTGCTAGCCAGGACATTTGAGTCCCACATAAATACATATGTATGCATATGCACGTATTTATGTGTGCGCATACACACACATGCATGTAGGATTTGGCAGAATGCACTTACAAACTGAGATTGCATAATAGTTTTTGGAGCCAGTTTAATTCTTTTCTAGTCATTTGGTTATTTAATTCATATGTGTATTTACAGTAGCACCCACAAGGGGTAGAGCACAATTGTATTTTCATTCTTCTTTTATTTTTCTCTTTCATCTGCCCCAGTTTCATTCTTCAGTTTTATGCTAAGATTTATTACACTGTAGCCTATGACTGCGCAGACACAGCAAGGACCGGAATAATGTTTGATTTGACACCATGGATGTTTTCAGCTCAATTCATGATAGTGAAAACTCCTAAAAGGATCAAAATGTGCTGTGCTGGCAGGCAGTAGTCTGGAGTTCCCACCTGAAAAGTAGTCCCAAAGGGCTGATGTCAGAGGGTAAATACTCTTCCATTCAACTTCAAAGAGAGAAAATGATTCACTTTCCATTAAGTTCTACACTATTGCTAAGTGTGTCTTGAAGCTTGAAAATCATAATTAAAATAGTGCTCAGATTTATACTAGAGAGTTTACAATCAGGGAATGACTTCCCTAGTAAGGTACTGGATTCTATTGCTCAAAATATCTAACATAAGGTCAAAAAATCTCCTTCCTTTCACCCTTCCAATTACTTGTGGTTCAGTGAGATGTTCCAGATCTGAAGCAGAAATTACTGGACCAAGTTTTATTTTTACTCTTGCAGTGGTCAGATGAGTTCCTTTCAGTTGAACCCCTTTTGTCCTAAAGCCTTGGGACATAGCAAAGAAATTGTTAACTAAAACAACTTTCATTCCTTACAGTGTGTCATTCACCTTGGAGCTTCCTCTGCCAAATTTTGCAGCTGCAAACATCGCTGTAACATCTCACTAAATGCTCTCAGTTAAGTTTTCAAGTAAAGCGGTATAGGGTATGGTTGCCCAGCCTGTGTGCAGGCTAGTTGAGAACAGTACTGAAGAAATCGCTTGCTGTGGGTTTTATTTTCCTTGTCTATTTAAATTTCTAACACCCTTTTGCCCCAAGCCATGTCTGTAGGATTTTCTAGGCAGCGAGTTGTAGACTGCTTATGTATCAGTGGTCTGCAACTCGTTGCCTGGAAGATGTATATCAAATTTTACAGCCATATGCTACACATAGCCTGAAGGATGTCTGGGATATATGAACCCAAGACCTTTGGTAACAGAGGATGTTGTGATTTCAGCAGCCACTAACTTGCTAGCGAACTGCTTTGCAGGGACAGGTTGTAAATAAACATTGCAGCTTCACAGGAACTTGGTGAATGGTTCCATCATGCTAAAGCAGAGCCTGATTCCATAACCTTAAATTAAAAGGCATTTTTAGTATGCATGGGCTCTAGTGAACTCTGGTGTTCTAGCTATGGGAAAAGATTAGGCTTAAAAGTAATCCTTGGGAATGTGCTGCAGAAAAGTTTGTGTATCACTGTCATCAGGAGAGGGAATATTGTGCTGGTGAAACATGGTGGAGAACGTTTGATAGTCCTTATTTAAAAGGTTATCAGTCCTCTCATCTTTTGGTCCATTCTTCACATTCCAGTTCAGGTGTATCATGGAAAAAGTGAAGAAAAATTTCAGTCTGAAAAGACTGAAAACAGCTGCTTCAAGAAACCAGTTCAGTCTGTGAAAAGGTTGGGTTAAATCGGGTCAGTCAAATCTTGCCTCTAATGCCCAACAGTGGACAAATCTTTCACTTTCCATCTGATATTTTGGAGAGGGAGTTAAGCCTGTTCTCATAAATGCTAGTGTTACTATTCATTTGCTACCACAAAACCAAACCATTGATTTAACAGTCTTTTTGTATTTCCAGAGAAATCGTGGAGCATATGGTTCAGCACTTTAAAACACAGATCTTTGGAGATCGCAAACCAGTGTTTGATGGAAGAAAAAATCTTTATACAGCTATGCCGCTTCCTATCGGGAGAGATAAAGTAAGTGTTTTTTTTTTTTTATTCTACTTGGAGATTTTAATGTAATATTTGTAGAGCCTTTTCAGCAACTGACTGTATATTTTTGATGTAAATGTATTTTTCTTCTGACTTGGGATGGTTTGACAAGACAGGCTGAACAGAATTATGAACTTGTTGCCATCCAAAGAGTCGCTGCCCTTCCTGTATCCCTTCTTTCTTCTCTCTCTTTCTCCCTGCTCACATAGTTTTATACTGGTTTGGTGAGTTGGATCAGTCGCCCAAGAAGGCGTGGAGATGAGCTCCATACTGATGCTAGGGGTAAAGTGAAGGCACCAAAGAGTCTGGGAGAGGAAACAGCTCTCTTGGCAGCATGGAGCTGTTGTATCAGCTCATTAATCCTGTCAAAGCCTCCTGTAAGCTGATTCTCACTCTCCACGAGCTGGAAGAAACTCCCCCAGCATTTGACTGGCAGAATGGCATGTGTATCTCTTCCCTAATCATTTGCAACGAGAGTGCCAAATTAGCTTAAACTGCTTAGGTTAAGCCTGCTGGTTGAGCGCTGGAGTAGCTGAGGAGCACTCACATGTTCTGCTTTGCTCCCCTCTGGGGGCCCTCACATCTTCACTTGCTCCAGATGGGCTTTTAAAACACATGTCTGTACCCATAGATGACTCATTAAGCAGCAAGTGTTGTGTTAGAACATGCTAGTGCACAAAACCTATAAAATAATTAGTTCTACGCCTCTGTGGTCTAATTTCAGATTGAATTTTCTGTTGTCTTTCTGTTTAGATGAGAAGCACTTTGCAATACAGGTCATTCCCATTATTTATTTGTGTTACGGTAGTTCCCAGGGGCCGTTACAACCTTTTGCTGTGGGTACAGGGCAAAGCACCTACAGTAACAGCGAAAAAGTGCCTTGCTTTGTAGAAATTGGTTACAGATGGAGTAGACAACAGAAATAAAATGTAAGAGGAGAGCGAAATACAGAGCAATGTAGAAACCTGCTTATGTGATAAGGTTGGGAATAGAGCCCAGGTCTTCCAAAATTCAGTGGCAGTGTGTTATAAACTAGATTGCAGTGGTCTGTGGGGAACCACCTTGTGTACTTGACATTGCTGACAGTGCCACCTTCATCTAGCTCTTACTCTGATATATGTAATGTACAACTCTTGATTTCCCCTAAATGATCTCTGGTTCTGAGCGAGCGTAAAGCAGTAAAGTCCAGTGTTTGCTCTAGTCTGAATTATTTTTCAGCTCATCAACTAATATTTAGGAAAACTCAATAGGGAGCCTTTAAGATCATTGGAGATCAAAAACTATGATGAATAAAAAAGTTCTTTGATCAAATTAAGTCCTGATGTAATGAGACTTCAGAAGATACAACCTGGCCCTACTTTAATTGAGGGTTGGAGCAGGTAATCTCCAACCTATATAATTCTGTATGGTCTGTAGCTGAGTAACTGCTTACTAAATAAGCCTCTACCCTTGATGTTTTGAATTTTGAAGTCCATGGTAAAAATGAGGTGTAGTGACAGTGTGTCATCAATAAACAAGTGGGTATTTTGCCTGCAAATTTACTTTCTTCTTGGCTAGGATAGGAGTCAAGAGCTTTTATCTGTCATTTTTTTTTTTTAGTAAAGTCTGAGGGGAGCTGCCCAACTCCATGATAGGTAGTTTTCTCAAAATTTCCTGCCCTCCTTTCGCAGGGCATACGAGATAATTTGGAGGCAGCTTCTCAGTGTATTAGTCTTAGTCAAACCACAGAAAATGCTTTAAAATGAGAAATAAAGCTAAGGTGGTTATATGGGAAATGCATTTGAAGCCTCATTTCCTCTGTGTGCCTGAAGATAAATGCTGCAACCTGCTCTTTGGAGAGGTGACTTCTCATAATTTTGTTAATTGCTCTGAGTGGGCCAGGGTTATGAAGTATGAGCAGTGCAAGTTTGCAAAGGGCTGCTGGTGTGAACCTCACTGGGGAGACTGTTTTGTGTGGAGTTTAGCTTGAGATGGCTTCAGGTGTGTCACATTTAGGCTCACTTTCATAAATTCCCATTCTGCCCCCCCACCCCCTTTTTTCCCATCCAAGGCAATTCGATGATTGAGGTTTTATCTAGTTTTGATCCAAGTATAGCAAACGCAGCCAGTTTGCTGCAGAACTGCTTATGTCTAGGTTCATAATTGGAAATACTGAACACACATATTAATTCCTTAATCTAAATGGGAACAGAGCCTGATTTACCTGCAATGTGTGGCCTTCATGGAAGAACTGATCCTGACCAGAAGGCTGGTACCCAACTTGCTGGCATCTTCCTCCTGTTGCTCTTGCACTAATGTACTCTCTAGTCTCACCTCTGGTCAGGTGGTTGTGGGTTTTACTTCTGTCCTTGATGACAACCCTGCTTCTTTCATAACCTCTCTCCTTCTACATAAACACTTTTTATCTTTTCTTCTTGGCCCTTGTGATTGTCCTTCTCTTTTGTTTACATGTCCTTCTCTTTGTTTCTTTATCCCTTTCAGAGAAAATGTGAAATACTTAAATATTAACAGAATACTTTCTTAGTTTTAACTCTTAAACACTTGGGAAAATGCAATGTATAGTACACTGTCAACTTATAAAGATGTTAATAGCCTCCTTGCTTGTAGCTTCTCAGAGCAAGTCTAGCTCATTTTTACCTGTAGCTTTAACAAACCTGCTACATATTTTCTATTTTTGTCCAAAATGTGCTAAAATTAAAAGTTTGAACTAAATTTCAGGAACAACTAATACACCTTAGAACAAAAACCGTTTAAGAGATGCACATCACAAGTGCTTTCTGTGAATTTGATGCTGAAAAATTGAACAGGAAACTGATGCAGAGAATTCTCGTTCCATTTGGGAAGGGAAGTCTAGTCCCGAGGGCAGTCTCTTAATTCAGTATATGGCCCCAGACATGTTACAGAACCTCACTCTTCTTGATTTTGCCCATTTGAAATGCTGAAATAATATCAATTTCTATAAATAAGGTAAAAATAATTTTATTTCATAAATCCTGACCTTGAGGTTTCCAGAGCAGTGCATGGAGATAAGCTTCCAAGCATTTGCTTGGAAACTGTGCACCTATTTTTCCCTGAAACTGTGGAAAGGAAAAAGCTCCTGGGTTCCTGGACAAAAGGTACTTCACACGCTGAAAACACGACTGAAACCAGCCGTGTAGTGAGGCTTGGATTTTACAGAAAGGAAACTCGGTGCAGAATTCACCAGGATTGCGTGGCCAGCTGGGAACAGAAGGCAGAAACTCCTTCTACCGAGCAGCCTGGGACAGGTCGAGGGTTAGATTTAGCCTTTCTATTTATTCCCAATAGTAAAATGGGAAAGACACCCATTTAAAATTCTCTCTCTCTCTGTCTCTCTCTCTGTCTGCCTCTCTCTCTTTATATATATGTATATAAAATTTCATATTTTGCTTATTCTGTTAAGCGTAAATGTGCTTGTATGCAGCTCAAATGTAGAGTGGACTAAATCGCAAATGATTGCCAGCTTTAAAATCCGATTTGCAGAACTTAGAAGTGTAGGTAATTTTTGTATGAATGTGGATGATGGAATCATTTTTGGTCCTAATGTATTATTATGGTTTCTTTAATGGACTCAGTATGTCTTAAACTTAAAAAACATGTGATTCATGTGAGATATTAGAGAGTGGAAACCTGGGGAACTGGTTTCAAACCTTATGTACTTCAGCATTGACTCTGAGTTATTTTTAAATGGTTTTAGACTCAGGAGCAATACCTGTTTGGTCCAAATTTACCAGTGTAAATTCACTGTTAAGCTATGCTAAATGATCTGGCTCCTGATACTTTACTGATAAATTTGTCCAAGATAACCGAGTATGTTTGTGTGGAATGATAGAATGTATTTTTGCTGCTGGATAAAGTACTTTCCAAATTCTGTCATATCTGTGTTTAAAATTAATGCATCTGTTACTGGGTCGGGCCCAAGTTGGCACTCCAGCAACTGGAATACAAATTCTTCAATCCTATGCCTTTTATTTCCACCAGGGAGGCACAGTTACTGCAACACAAGTAGTCCAGTTCTTTATCTGTTTCCATTCCATCATGGGTAAGGAGCTTTGGAAATTGAAACCTGGAGGGAAGGAAGGAAAAAAAAGACAGAAAAGTTGTTGTTTAATTAAATGGTACTAAAGTCATTAATAATCAGCAGTTATGTATTCAGCAGTGTCGGGAGTAATAAAAATGGTGTAGGCTGATTTGCAGCAGGAGAGAAATTAAAAAAAAAACATAATTCAGGTGCGACAAATATTTTCCATCTTTTTAATTAATGTGTAGGTTGAAGACCTATTGACAGTGTAGCAGAGACACCTCAGAAAAAGCTTCCAACCTGTGTCAGCTGAAACCTAGGCCCCTACTTGCACTTCTTTTTTGTAGGATTAATGTTCTGGGCCAGATTCAAAGCCGTGACCCAGCAATTACAGACTCCCTTTTCCATCATCCTCCTTCCTCTGCACGACTCTTCCGGCAAGTAACCTTTGTGCAAGAGGAGTGACGAGGCTGTAATGTTAATTTTAACCTTCTACTCTAAATTGCCAACTAGATTTTTGGCTTATAGGAAGGCTTATCATTTATGTTTTATTTTTACTTTTTTTTTCCTATGAGCAAACCAGTTAACCATCACAAAAGACCAGCTGATTGCATGTATTAGCTGCCTGTTACCCATGTATTGTCTTCACTACCCCACTAATTACAGTTTGTCTATTGAGCGGATGCCTTTTGTATTTAAATTGCAGGCTCCTTGGGACAGGAAAATCCAGTGCTTTTGTTTATACCCTACACAAGACTCTGCTGATGCTGTTATTCCTTGTAGTTCTTCCCAGAAGTTTTAATCCTTTCAGACAAGCCTTAATTGTAGATAAGGAACATCTATATTCAGGTATTCTTTGTGCCAATAAAGAGGAGAAATCAACATTATAAAATGCATCATAGCTGAAGTAAGCTAAAATAATACAGTTTGTCAGTGTTTTGGGCAAAAAATCAAAACGTTCACCTACTTCTATTCATCTATTCTTTGATATCTAGAAATAACAGTATTTTTTTTTAAAGCTCTTTCTGAGTTTTTTTTCTTGTCGCTTGAGCTATATTCACAGTGTATATATAAACTACTCTGTCTGGTGCTGTAGAGAGAGCAGGTCTGAAGTTCATGCATCTTGGCAGGTAATGACAGCCCACATTTCATTTTGCACATGCAGAAATTCATGTTTTGAGTGTTGACACATCAGTATGTTTAGATACCCAAATTCAGGTTTCCAGATTTTCTCTGAGACCTTCCTGGTGATGACACAAGCTCTTCCAAAATGAGGGAGGTAGATGCCAGTTGGGAAGTGTGCTGGTTTTCTGAACGACACCTTTGGAAAACCCAGCTGTTAAAAGAGGCTGTACCAAAAATTGTTGTTTCTTCAGCATTGCTTTGTGTCTTCTCCCATGCTCTAGAGTTGATGCTCAGAGGAATTCATGATCCCTTCTAAGCCCCTTTCATTTTTCCCTTTAAATGGAAAGAATCATCTTGGTTTGTTGTTTGGCATTGTTGCAGGTGGAGTTGGAGGTCACGCTGCCAGGAGAAGGGAAGGACAGAATATTTAAGGTGGCTATAAAGTGGATGTCCTGTGTGAGTTTGCAGGCTTTACATGATGCTCTTTCTGGTCGGCTGCCAAGTGTCCCATTTGAGACCATCCAGGCACTGGATGTGGTCATGAGGCACTTGCCTTCCATGAGGTGAGGGGAAGACCTTGACGTTGTTTAGAAATTTGCCTTTCTGCTCATGCTGCTTCAGGGGCTATTTCACATAGCAGGTACTTTGATAGATCAACCACTGTAAGAGTAGATCCCGCGTGCTCGAGTGAGAAGCTGCTTTTCTGCTCATCGGGTGCAACTCGCAGCCTCCAACGTGGACATGAGACCCCCTCCTCGCTGCTCTTCAGCCTTATTCCATGTTTGTGTGGTCTGATCAGGGAGGGACCTTCCATCTCACCCATACCTCATTCCCCCATAGTCTTAAGAGAGGGACATCCCCCAGGTTGCAAGAAGTTGGACACTGGGAGACACATGAGGCTGGTTTCAAACACGTTTATAGCCAATTTGGTACATGGAATCCTGAGATAGACAGGCCCTGGTCTCACCTGATAGAGCTATTTTTATGGAACGTGCTCAAAAATGTCCTTTTCCAAGCAAGTGGGACCCCACAGCATTTGCAGTCAAAGCCAGGAGACACTAGGTTGCAGAAATTCTGCTGTTAAGACTTCCGTTCAAATTAAAGTCCCCTTCAAAAGTAAAGAGCAAAGCTTAATAAGGCTGAACTTCTCTTTTTTAAAGCACTAAACAGAGAAACTGAGAATTAAAATCATGTAAAATCTTTAAATATCCTATGCTAAGTTGAATTTATCCCTAATGAGAGCATAAAAAAGGTTATTAGAGTAAGCTTTTACAACAGAGAGAATGGTCCATACCATTTAGTCACACATCTTTGCTCAGAGAATAATATTAGCACTGGTTTTGATTAGTTTCATATTAAATGTGAAATACTCAAATACCAACATGAAAGATGCACTAAAAATATTTTAGATTAGTCTCTTACTCGGGCAAAGTTTCCATGGGTGTCAGAGGAGCTATTTGCAAATAAGGAACAAGATTATGAAACTGTTGTTTTTAATGTTGGAACTACTTAATTATTTTCTGACTGCATCATAGTAATAGAGAACAAAGAACTCTGTAAAGCTTTTTAGTTTGTATTAATGGGTGTTTTAATGGGGTATACTGAAAATGGGTTAAAAAAAAAAAAAGGCAGAGTACTAGCTAACTTCTCATTGTAACAAACTGCAATTGAGAGGTATAACCTGAGTCCTGATGAGAGTTGCAGGTTGTTTATTAAGAGGAAACACTGATATTTCTGTGTTCTTTGAGCAGGAATTTTTATTAATTCTTGTTTAAATGCTTTAGGTTTGTTGCTGTTTTTTTTTCTGCTTTTGTTTTATGATCTGATTCTGGAGCTAATGAATCCACTTTCTTTATTCCAGGTATACTCCTGTGGGCCGATCTTTTTTTACAGCATCAGAAGGGTGCTCAAATCCCTTAGGTGGTGGCAGAGAAGTCTGGTTTGGGTTTCATCAATCAGTCAGACCTTCATTATGGAAAATGATGTTAAATATTGATGGTAGGTCCTGTACAAATCCTTCCTCCTCCTTTCTCCTTTAATAACAAGCCAAAAATGTAATCCTGTTTGTTGTATTTCTTAACAATTTCTTCATTGTTACTCTAATGTAACCTTAATGTACATGTGTTTGTCTATAGTGTCTGCGACTGCATTTTACAAAGCACAGCCAGTTATAGAGTTTGTATGTGAAGTTTTGGACTTCAAAAGTATCGAAGAACAACAGAAACCTCTGACAGATTCCCAAAGGGTAAAGTTTACCAAAGAAATAAAAGGTAATAATAACAATATAAAGTTGCTTAATCAGTGTGATGATATATGAAAACCACATGTTCAGAAAGTTTTTCTGTAGCAGCTGATTTCTTTTTTTTATTTTGTCACAATAAACAGTGAACGCAGGCAAACCTAAGAAGCAAAAATCATTTTATTACTTGCATAAATATAATATATACTTACATATCTATGTACTTGCGTATATTCCAAGAATTTAGGAAGTCTACTGATTGGTTTTACATTTAAGCCTTTGGCTGCCCTTTTTTCCTCCTGTGTCAGCTTGAGCTCTGTAAATTTACAGAGTTACTTGGTGACTATAAGCAGAGTTGCATCAGTTGAGATTAATCAATGTATAAAGCCCTATTTTTATCACGAGTGTAAAATACTAACCAAGCATATTTATTTTTACTTAACCATATACACTTAGAGCTCAGGTGTGTATGTAAGTTAGTACATATTAGAGAATCTGTGGCAATGATAATATGCACGTGCTTTTAGCCTGTGGCAAATATAGGCTAATTTTAATTAGCTTTGCCTTTAATGAAAGTGCTGCAGTAAAACCTTGAAGATGATACATTTTGCTTTAAGTTCAGGGATGAACTAAAGCTTCCTAGCAGATGGGTAGCAGTTTATTGCACTGGAATTAGCTCCTGGCTTGTGGTTGTGCAAGCATCTCCTTTAACTGCATGTTTTCTTGACACAGCTCCATTTCTTTGTGCCTCAACCCAGCCTAAGCGTTTGATGTCTGAGAATATCTCAGTGCAAACTGCTCTGATCTTTTCGCCTGAGTATATAGAGCAACATCTCTTATTCTGTCAATCCCTTAAAAAAAATATATATATATGTTTTTCTTCCCACTTGAATATTGCTGTTCTTCCTCGTACCTAAAGGTTATATTTACTGTAGCTCTCTAACTCTTCTTGAAGTTTCCTCCGTCCCCGTTTCTAAAATAAATAAAAGCTACAGATGCAAAAGTTTCATATTCCTTTTCCCCTTTTGCAACTCCTGATTCAATAGCGAAGATAAAATCTAGCTTTGAATGTCAATGGTTTCAGAATGTTTGTAAAATCCAGGACTGCATTGATATCTTTTAAATTACCTAGACTTCAATTTTTCCAATGACTGCCAAGTTTTACTAATAATTTGATGCTATGTTTTTTTTCATATTTCGTACATATATTTTCCTAGGAAAAAAAAACAGTTATTCTAATAAGTAATGACTGAATCACAGAGTAAGTAGAGGGAATTATTGCTGTTTATGCTCACTGAATGGTCACTTACAATATTTCTTCTGAGAAATCGAAATCCTTCCTGTATATTTGCCTATGAGGTGACAGGCTGGTGATACACACATCGCTCTTAATGACTGTATATATCTGAGAAGGGTGACTATACTTTATGACAGGATTATGCTGAACATAAATGCTGTGCAAAAATAAGCAGACACTGAATTGCAGATACTACTGTCATTTTTTTCCGTGAGGATTTTCAGTCTTCAAATAAGAAATAGTCTTGAATTTTGAACAAAACTAGTCATAAGTTGTTTGAACTGAGGTAACAGTTTATCCTCTAGTGAAAATGTTATGATACAGGTTTCAGAGATGTTCATGGCAACTTGATAGTTACTGATGCTTTTGAAATAGTTGGCACCTGGAGCCCTGACAAGTAATATGGAAAGATCTGTAGGTTATTTGGCAAGTTACTGATGCCTTTAATAGGGAGGTTAAATATACGCTGTTATTCTGCAGCTTCATGAGCTTAACACACATGCAGATATACAAGGAATCTATGTCTACAGCTCCTTTGTTCCTAGTGCCTTACATTCAGCTTCCTCTCTCCAACAGTCTACCTCCATCTGGTTTTGTCTGAATATGAAAGCAATATAAATGAAAATGTGGTATGCAAGGTAATTTTGGGAGGGTAGTGGCAAATGGAAAAGTTTTCTGCATTGCATAGCTAGTTGTGCTGGTGGTGTTTTGGGCTGGAGAGTGTGCAGAGTGGGGACACTTCCCCCTTTTGGAGGGAATCCCCCTTGATTTTTGAAGAAATGGTGATACATGTTTCCCAATTTTTAGGTCTAAAGGTGGAGATAACACACTGTGGACAAATGAAAAGAAAGTACAGAGTGTGCAATGTTACCAGACGGCCAGCAAGTCACCAAACGTAAAGTATTTTGTTTCTTTTTGAATATGTGTTTATACGTTTAATCTCATGCTGTATGAGTACCTATCTTGTAAAATTATGCTTTGTTGGGTCAATAATTTTAAATATACCCCGGATTAATTTACCAGGCTTGCTGTTCTTTTTGTTCTGTTTTTTTTTTTATAAAAACTTCAACCAGTCTTTTCATTTTTTGGACAGCTGCCTGTTTCATTTTTCTTTGTGGATTTCTTTGACCCAGGAAAAACAGAAAGCATAATACTCCCCAGAATTGTTGAATATGAATTTAATGTGAATTCGGATCAGGTTCTTAATCTTGCTAAGTACTGAGCAGTTTATCTCTCCAAGAAATCTTTTATCACTAACCAGGGATCTGCAGATAACTTCAAAATGGTATTGTTTTGTGAATCTTGTAGAGGAATGACTATATTCTGTGCATGGCATATCATAAAATGTAGGACTAAACATTATAAATAAGCAGAAAATATTAGTTTTTGCTTCTAAGGCACCCAGTCTTAAGGAATAGCTTCAGCTATTGTTATTCAGCTTATGTTAAAGCTTCAGACATAACAAATCAACAAACGTTGGAGAAATTGCCTTCTCTGACACTGTTAAAAGACACTTGATAGTGGCTCTGATGAAATCTTAATTATAAAAAATACACTGACGTCATTTTAAAAAGAGAGGATGAATTTCCAGCAAACATAAGTTGTGCCAAGCGTACTGAGCGAGCCTGGGAAGGTGCTTTAGGTAACGCGGTGACTTATTTTCCCGTTTGATTTCCCACAGATTCCCACTTCAGCA